CTCCTTTTAAAAATAAAAGTTGTCCTAATATACCTAATATACAGATCCTTTTTTCTATCTTTATTTATCTATGTATTTTAGAGACCTTTCTATATCAAGGACAGAAAGAGCTTTCTTTCTCTTTTTATAGTTCCATAAATTACTACTGTATGGATATAAGATAGTTTTTTTCATGTAAGTATTCCTTTTATCTATTCTATTTACAGATAGTTCCTGGTATGAGGCTAATTTCTCATAGATATTTTATCTTAGATGTTTTCTATAGACAAAGAAAAGTGATGACAGGAGCAATAATCTGGAAACTGGATAGTACAGACAACCTCTATATTGGCTCATTCTTCATGCCACATCCTCTGCCATTAGTTAATAGGTTACCTCTCCTGTCTTATTAGCTGGATCTACAGATGCTAGGTGAAATCCAGAAAAGAGGCCATTTTCCAGATAATCCATGAGCAGAAAAGAGAAGTTCAATTTTCTGAGCACTTAAATGACTTTGGTTTGAGAAGCCATAGATTGTCTTAAAATCATTTTGACTGGGATTGAGATAGTTTAGGAATTTATTGGCATTGCCTCCAAGAAAAGTCTGAAAGGCATTTATGTGACAAGTATTGTTCTGATTTTGAAATAACCTTAGCAGTTATGTTTGAAAGGACAGTTCACTAGATAATCCTTAAAATGCAAATAAAATAGATCATAAGAAAAAGATTTGTANAAGGGGTCATTGCAAGGAGCATACTGGGCTTGACATTTTTAAAACTTTTCCAGCTCAGAGAGAGTTGCTGCTGCCAGAAATAATTATAAAATGCTGTCTTTTTTTCCCCTTTTGGATGTTAGAAACTTCCTTTTCCTGTTAAAAATAGGTTGGATAATATGCTCAGAGCTCTTGCAGACCCGAGAGAAAGAGCAGAAGGGGAGCTAGAGAGAGATCCTATAGAGCTTCCTCGCAGGAGACCTTCCCCTCACCATCTGGGAGAAGCAAGGCCACTGTTTTGAAGATTGGGGTGAAGAAAAACTAGGAAGTTTATGTGCATCTATCACATCTAACTTTTTCCTGATTGGCCTTCAATAGCCCAATAATCATTGCCTTTACATCCTAATCAGAAAGAACAACAGGACCCCTCATAAGGCTAGATTTAAGTTATGAAGCTGTTTTTTTTTTTTTCCTAGTTCTATTAATCGTTGAGAGAGGGCTGTTGACATCTCTAACTTTAATTGTAATTTGTCTATGTCTCTTTGTAGGTAGTACCTTTACATGATACAAACCCCAACAAAGTACAAGTTATATAGCAAAAGATCACTGTTTCTTTGTCATTTATCTTCTGCCCTATTTCTACCCTACACCCCCTACCCATAGTATTTTATCCCTCTGAGTTACTTTCTGCATATGTAAGGAAATAATAAATACAGATTATGTTTTACCTCTCCTTTTAAAAATAAAAGTTGTCCTAATATACCTAATATACAGATCCTTTTTTCTATCTT